CCGGGCCGGGGCGGGGCTGCGCGGTGGCGCTGCGCGACAGGTTCTGTTGCCGGAACTAGTCCGAGTCGCGCGCCCGGACGCGCGTAGCCCAGCCCCGCCCCTCCGCCCGCGGGGTGGAAACAAAGGGGGCTTGGCGCGCGGAGCCGAGCGAGGCGAAAGGGGCGGAGCGCTCACGCGGTCTCGCGCTTTGGGTTCGCTAGGTTTGTGCCAGCGAGGAGGTGGGGCGGGGGAGGGAAGACTACCCAGAACCGAGAAGTGGGAGGGCCTCGTGCTCGCGCGTATTGCGGCCTAGCGGCAAGGGGCGCAGCCTGCGCGCGCAGCGGACTTTATTGCGCCGGCGCGCGGCGAGATCGGGTCCGTGAGCTCCGAGTCGGGGGTGCGGTGGGGCAGGGCCCCCTCGTGCAGCCGTGCAGGACGGTGTTTTAGGCCCGGGCAGTTGGGGCGCGGGGCCGGAGAGGATGAGGCCCCCGAGGCGTTAGCCGACTCTGTCAGGCCTGGGTGTGCAGCCGTCGTTTCCTGGCGCTGCCCGTGTAATGGTGCCGGGAGGAAGGAAGCGCCGTGACAGCGCCTCAGTCGCAGCCCGTGTTCCGGGGGTGAGGAGGCCCGGGGACAGCGGATCTTGCGAGCTGGCGGCTGGCTGGGCGAGCGGTCACAATAGGAGGCGGCGGCCCAGCACGGAGCCGCGGGAGCAGCCCCGCAGGGCGGAGCCTCCCCTCTCAGGTACTGGCCTCTGCGGCCGTTGGTTCCCGTGCGAGGGCGGGACGGGCCGCGGGCCGTTGGGAGCCTGCGGGGCCTCGACCGACGACCGGACGGAGGTTTGGTTGCCCGGTGCTAGGTGGGGCGCGGCCCGGGCGCCCGGCTCTCTTTGTTCCGGGGCGGCAGCGAGGAGGTGCGGCCGCAGCCAGCAGGAGCCGCCGGCCCTCGGCCGCCTGGCGGATGGCCTCGTTCTCGCGCTCCCTCCGGTTTTTCCGAGGCGCAGGTGAAATGATGTCACCGATAAGAACGCGGAACCCGATCAGAAGGGTCGTCTTTCTCGTCCTTCTGTCGTCGCGGGTTTCTGAGCCGACTGCGATTTGTTCTTAGGGAATGAAAGTTCTTCTTTCAGGGCTGAAGAATGGGAGAGGTTGGTTTTTGAACTGCGAGTCTTTCGAATTAATAATGGCCAAAGAGAATAAAGTTTTTGTTTCCGCGTGTAGGACTTGTAAGGGACAGCGCTTTTTGTTTAATTTCTGGTGCTGCAAGAATGTATGCAGTTATTCAGTAAAAGTCGTGTATACTAGTTGTTAACGTCTTAAACGAACGCTTGCCTGTTCGTTTCTGATTATTAAGCGGTTGACTTAATGTATGGAATTTTAAATATCAGGTAGTCCTGCATTTATTATTACGGGGTTCAGTTCCAACGACTGTAAGTCGGTTCTGACATAAGTCAAAATACCTTTTCTTGTTATTTCATTATTGCCTTTTATTATCAGTATTTTTATAAATCCTGTCTTTGAACATCTCTGAGTGAACATCTGAGAACTGTATCAGCAAATTACGCACCGCAACATTGTGTATTACGTATTACTAACTATAGGATGTACCGAAAAAAAAAAGCCGGTGGTTAAGTATGGGTTGTCAGTGCGGTTCCTTGTAAATCCAATACGTGGTAAATCTGGGATACCTGTATTCAACTTTTCACCCACAATTGTTGGTTATCTCAGAATTGCAAATCTGCCTGGTCTTACTTGTCCTTGATGGCAGGTACTATTGTAAACACATTTACCATAAAATTTCCTTAAATAGCAAGCAGCTCTTGTAACTGAGTTTATATTTAAAAAATAATAATTTGTTCACACAGTTTTCACAAAATGAAAACTTAACGATCTAGGGGCAGTTGGATTCAAAGTAAAATTGTTCCTGTCTTTGGGAACTGAAGGAATAGGATTTCTGTGCGTGTAACAATACAGACCAAATACAGGTGCCAGATCAGTTCAGTGAAGCTGGAACACACTTGAAATCAACAGATTAAATTACTAACTGGATTTTTAGCTGGGAATTGTACCACTTCAGGTACCCCCTTTCTCTCTTTCCCACTGGTATATTTCACTTTTTGTAAACCTACTAAGCCTTAAATCTGTTCATTATAGGGATTCAATTTTAAGTTAATTTCTATAATTTTCTGTAGGACTTATTTCTAAACGAATTGGAGGCGCAAGGTGATAGTTGAATAAGCTCTTCCACAAGCTAGCAGTGGGGTCTTCAGGTCTCTTTGTAAAATTTGAGTTGGACTTAAATGATCTCTGTAGTCCCTCCACATCTGACACCTTCTAAATGTACCTCAAGGTTTATAAACTGTTGTCTTTATCAGCAAATTAAATGGGCAAGTATTAATATAGGTAAGTGTAGAAAATTTTCTCTATTAGAGCAGCATAATTTTTGAGGAAAGCTGGACAGAGGATGGCATAGTCAGACATAACTGAGTCTATGTCAGCATCATAATGTAGAGTGTAGACGGGTTTTCTATCTCTGTCAAGCATTGGATGAGGCTTTTAGTTAACCCATGTTACATAGTCAGAGTCCAATTTTGAATATTTGTTTTCTGTTTGTGCTCATTTATACTTGATGAATATGGAAAGATCATTTTACTGTCTACCTTCGTTTTCTAGTGTAGTCCATCTGCTTCTCTCTGTTTCTGATGCTCCTAGTTTGGTATAGGCCATCACCATTTCGCAGTTTATCTTGTTGGAAAGATAATTCTTGATTAGTCACATGACTGTTGGCATAGTATTTTAGTCTACTCGTTGTTTTCCTATTAAGCACATATACAACAGTTTTCATTTCTTTTGTACTCTGATTGAACTCACCTTGCTTTTTCTTTGGAGAGAGTGAACGGATTGTAAATACACATTTGGAGCCTATAGTTCATTCATTCAGCAAATATTTATTAAACACCCACTATGGCATTGTTTATTTGGAAGAAATCAAGCTAATGCTTACTTTCTTCCGACTTCTAACTAGGTGGTGGTAGTTGTTAGTTGCCATTGGGTCGATTCCAATTCATGGCAACCCCATGGGTGCATAGTAGAACTGCTCCCATTGTCCTCAGTTAGTGAGTCTTTTTTTTTTAATGATTAAAAAAATAATAATTATTGAGTTTTTGGTAAAAGTTTACATAGCAAGTTAGGTTCCCATTTGACAATTTACACACAAATTGTTCAGTGACATTAGTTACATTTATCACAATGTGTCAACATTCTTTTTTTTTTGGAACAGTTTCTACATGTACAATTTAGTAACATTGATTACATTTTTTGGGTTGCACAATCATTCTCACCCTCCTTTTCTGAGTTGTTCCTCCCTCATTAACATAAATTCACTGTCCCCTAAGGTTCCTAGCTAATCTTTCGAGTTTCTGTTGTCAGTTTGATCCCGTATAAAAAAACCAAAAAAAAGAAAAAGAAAACCAAACACATTGCCGTCAGTCGATTCTGACTCGTAGGCACCCTATAGAACATAGAAGAACTGCCCCATAGGGTTTCCAAGGAGCAGCTTGTAGATTTGAACTGCCGACCTTTATGGTTAGCAGCCGAGCTCTTAACTGTGCCACCAAGGCTCCTGATTCCAAGTAGATCTTAAAAGAACATAATGCTCAAGGCAGACCTTTAAGCGAAACTATTGTTTGGTTTTAAGAAGAGTCGAGGGATATTTTTGGTTTAGGTTTTAAAGATTATCTCAGGGCAATAGTTTCAGGGGTTCATCCACCCTCTGAGGCTCCAGGAAGTCTGGAGTCCGTGAGAATTTGAAATTCTGTTCTGCATTGTCACCAGGATTCTTTTATAGTATCTTTGACCAAAATGTTCTGTAGGGGTAGCTGGGCACCATCTAGTTCTTCTGGTCTCATGGCAGAGGAGGCAGTTGTTCATGGAAGCAATTAGCCATATATTCCATGTCCTCCTATTCCTAATTCTCCTTCCTCTGTTGCCCCAGACAAATAGAGACCAATTGTTGTGCCTTGGATGGCTGCTTACAAGCTTTTAAGACCCTAGGCACTACACAGTGAACTAGGAGGTGGAACAGAAGCACTAAACATGTTACTAGGCCAATTAATTGGGATGTCCCATGTAACCATGAGATTTTTTGGTTGTACTTAAGTAGCCTCAGCATCTACCCTTTTTTTTTTTTTTTTTGGAATTATATCAATCCCATAATTTATTATAAGTGTACAACTTAATTGACAGCAGTTAACAGTAATTGGCTGTGCAAACCTACCTACCCTTAATCATCGTGATTTTTTCCATCACCTTTAACCACCACCCCCACCCCCCCGTAACCACTAATAAATTTTGGTCTCTATACATTTACTTTTTCTTGTTTTTTTATATAAGTGATGCCATACAATATTTGTCCTTTTGTGATTAGCTTATTTTGCTCAGTATAATGTCTTCAAGCTTCATCTATACTTTAGCATGTATCAAGACTTCATTTCAGCTGTGGCTGAGTAGTATTCCATTATATGTATGTACCCCATTTTGTGTATCCATTCATCTGTTGGTTAGCATTTAGGTTGTTTCCACCTTTTGGCTATCGTAAATAATGCTGCAGTGAACATTGGTGTACAAGTCTCTTTTTGAGTCTCTGCTTTCAAGAATTTGGGTATATACTTAGGAGTGGAATTGCTGGGTCATATGGTAGTTCCATTTTTAGTTTTTTGGGGAACTGCCATGCTGTTTTCCACAACGGCTATATCATTTTGCATTTCCACCAGCAATGGATAAGGATTCCAGTTTCCCCACATCATTGCCAACATTTATTATTTTCAGTTTTTTGTTTTTAATTTTAGCCATCCTAGTGGGAGTGAAAGGGTATCTCATTGTGGTTTTGATTTGCGTCTCTCTGATTGCTAATGATGGTGAACATCTTTTCATGTGGCCATTTGAATGTCCTCTTTGGTGAAATGTCTGTTCAGTTCCTTTGCTCATTTTGTGATTGGCTTGTCTTTTTGTTATTGTTGAAGCTTTGTCTGTATTTTAGTTATTATATTCTTGTTGGATATATGATTTCCAAAGATACTCTCCCAGTCAGCAGCTTGCCTTTTCACTTTTTTGGTCAAGTCTTTGGATGAACAAACATTTTAGATTTTTATAAGGTCTCATTTATTTATTTTGTCTTTTATTGTTTGTGGTTTTGTTATCATATTAGATAATCCATTGTTGAAAGCCAGGCCTGACAATGTTGCCCCTGCTTGTTAAGAACTTTATGGTTTTAGTTCGCACATTTAGGTCCTTAATCCATTTTGAATTTGTTGTTGTGCATTTAGTGTCTCTTTTAATTGTACCTCACTAGACTGAATGTCTTTGAGGACAAGGACTGTCTTTTTCCCATTGTATTCACAGCATCTAGTACATGGTAGACATGAAATAAACATTTGAATACATCAGCAAGAAGTTACTTAATTAAAGAAACCCATGAAGAGCTCAGTCACAACTCATCTTTTCAACTATTATAAAACCCACAATTTTATTCATATGCCCCCACAATCTCATTGGTCATTGTCTAGAAAATTCTCAAAATCCATATAATTCTTAGATATCAAATCTGGAAGAGGTACTTAAGAACTATCTGTTGAGAAGTTACCTGCCTAAGTAAAATGAAAAGGTGAGACATAAACTTCTTTGAACGGAGAAGAATCCTTCTGTGACAAATCAGGATTGTGGAAGGTAAGGAAACAAAAACTTATAAAAACACGTGGCTCTTATTTTTCCTAACTTTTGTTCCAACCTTCCTTCTCACTTCCTTAGGAACTTACAGGACTAGGGGCAGGCGGTGTCAGACTGAGGAACCTATCCTATTTTTACCAACCCTGATTCTACCCTGCTCCTAGAAGGGCGTGGGCCCAGGTTGTTATTTATGCCTTAAATCAAGAATGGGAATAAACTGCTAAAATGCTTAAATAAAAATGTCTTAGTTTGTATCTTTCAAAATCAAAGTAACGCATCCAAAATTCTGTAGAAAAAACTTGTGGTGTAATATTTTTTATTCTATTAATTTATATACATATACATTGTATTAGTTTTCTATTGTTGTGTAGCATACTACCACAAATTTAGTAGCTTAAAACACCTAAATTTATTATCTCACAGCTTCTGTGGTTTCAGGACGCCTGGTACAGGTTAACTGTTGGGTCCTCTGCTCAGGGTCTTACCTGGCTGAAGCTGTGATTTCATCTGAGACTCAGTCCCCTTCCAAGCTCACTGGTTGTTGGCAGAATATCATTCTTGCGGTTGTAGTACTGAGATCCCATTTTCTGCTAGCGGTTGACTGCAATTGCTCTCAGTTCCTTGAGGCTGCCCTCAGATTCCTGCCACCTGGCTCCCTCTGCATGCCTTCTCACAACATATAATAGTTTACGTCTTCACGGTTGATAGGATCTCTTCAGGAAGTACTCAGTCCCTCTTTTAAGAACTTTCTGTGATTAAGTCAGAGGAAAGGAAACCTGACCCCCTTGACTTCTTTTTTTCCCAGCCGGCTACTTATACTCAGTGATTTGTAAGAGTGCTACTCAAATAATCTGCTTTGAGTATAGTAGTTGAAAGCAGATAGCCTTATTAAAAGACTGCAGAAGTACTTACTGTGGAAACTAAAAACGTAAAAGGATTGCAAAAAAAAAGTATTAAATCTACATAGAGGAACAGACCATTTTGAGGGAGGAGAGGATTGCTTTAAAGTGATAAAGCAATGAGTGAGGAGTCAGGAATGTGAAATACACCTCTTCCTATGAAATCTTTTCTTTCTCTTAAACTCTCAGATAAACTCAAGGGTCCTACCTCTGTTCTATTGTTTGCCTGTATTGCATTTGAAATCTTATCCTACAGTTGGCTGTTTGTGTCTTTTTACTACTAGAAAAAACTTGACAGCAACCACATTTTATCTTTCATCCTCTTTCCTAACATAACTTCTGGCTTGTAGGAGGAAATGAGTAAATATTTCTTGATTCATCAGTGCATACGTCTTCACTGTGGTAAAGACAATTAACACATTCATGTTTGTAGTACAGAGAAGAACTAGCTCATGTCCGAAATATTTTGTGTAGCAAACGAATAAATTCTAAAGTACTTGCCCTCATGTGTTTTGTTTTTACTCTTAAAGGGAGGTCCTCAGAAGTATTTTTACTCCTACCAAGAGGCACACTTAATCTGTTTACCAGCCTCATAGCAAGCCAGAAACAAAAAATTATAAAGGGGCTAAAGGGGTTAGCATAATAACATGATCAGCACTCCATGATCTAGTCTCTGCCTACCTCTGGCTACTTCTTTACTATCCAGCCATACTGAACATTTTGCAGTTTCCTGATGCTCCTCTTTCTTGCCAGTTAACATCTTCATTGTACCCAGTGTCTGTCTTTACCTTAGTACTCATGTAATACATTGATTTACTTTTTTTTTTTTTTGTAGTATATACTTGAAGGTAGGAAACCATGTCTGTTCTGTTTAGAGCCTGTTACAAAAAAGACAAATGTGTCACTAAGTGAATGCATGAGGCATTGAAATTCTAAAATGAGACAGTCTTAAAGAGCATGGTTTGGAGTCTTTAGTGTTGGGACAAGCAGTCTACAAACCATAACCTCCGAGGACAATTCACTGTAACAACACAGTGGAATGGGTGATGTTCATGATGGTAATTAAGTCATTAAAAATGCTACAGGTTTGAACCCCTCCTGAGAATTTGCATTCCCTCCCCAGCTATGCTGAATCAGAATCTACATTTTAACAAGATCCCCAGGTGATTCTTATGTATAATAAATTATGAGAACCACGGCTCTACTAGTGGTTCTTAGAATTGGTTCCTAAGCAGCAGTATTAGCATAGCCTGGGACCTTGTTAAAAATGCAAATTCTCAGCAGAGATTCTAACCGGATATGGGCCCTTATAAGGGGATTAACCCACAATCAAGTCAAGCATTAACGGCATGCAATCATTTACTTTGGGGCTTATGATCTTGTCCTTTATTCTTTAGGAAGATAGCTGGGTTTGTTTGAATAGAGCTGAGATCTCCAGACTCTTGTTTTTCAAAACTATGATTATTATAGAAGTTTGTCACAAATATTCTCAAATCTGTCATCTTTCTTTGCATGATTATTTGGAAAGTTAATTAAAAAATAGAACGAGAAAATATTAATCTTAGTCCAGGCAGACACTAATCTTTCTGTGCTTAAAATATATGATTTTATTTTGGCTTTTCTTAACATGAAGTCTGTTGTTTAGGATTTCAGAGTTAACACCACCAACAAAAAAAGATAGCAGTAGGTATTACCTAGGAAACAGGAAGCTCTTGTGTTCTTGAGCAGTGCTGCTTTGCCTTTAAAAAAAAAAAAGTTTTTGTAAGATTGATTCATTGCCAGAGGCAACCTTTGCTACCCTTTGTTTATATGTTTACAATTTTTAGTTTTCAGTCTCTGCTAACAGAATCATATAACTAGAAAACCCAGACTATCTTTCATAGCCATGATTCTCCACATTGGTGCAGCTAGCCATGAACTATCCTTTTCTTCTCCCTCTTTTTCCCAGATTTCTCCCGGGGCCAATTCAGCACCTCTACCTGGCCATCCTAACAAGGTGATTTGTGAAAGGGTGAGACTTCAGAGCCTGTTCCCTCTCCTCCCAAGTGATCAGAACACTACCGTTCAAGAGGATGCTCACTTCAAAGCTTTCTTCCAGGTTCTTATATATTTACCCTTTCCCTACATAGGGTGAAGGTCACAGATACATTCTAGGTTGTTTCTAGGAAGGCTTGAAACAAAATTCTTATCTTCTTACTTCTTATTTTCTACTGTTATGTGGGAGTAAGTATTCTTCTTAGAGAACTTCTTTAATATAACTTGTATTTTCAGCCAGCTATTCAGAAGAATATTTGTCTTCTCTTGAGTTGCTGTTTGACTACCTAATGTCCACATTTTTTCATCTTTTGGTCTTAATTATTTATCTTAGTAGGCCAAGTTCTGTAGAATAGCAGCAGATATTATAGAATATGGGAAATAATGTAGGAAAGGAAAAATGGAAGCATATAATACATTCTTAACGTAATCACTACTTATTTGCTTAGTACCTAGAGTTTGATAGTAATGTATATTTCAGAGAGAAACCCTGTTTACTTGCCTTCTGGGACTTTTGATAACTGGGTAAAATGTGATTAAAAAAAAAAAATGAAAACAAGAAATGGTGTGAATGGATTGAAACCGTCATTGAGGCTGGGAAGTTCGGATAGAGCCACCTCATTTTCTGTTTTGTGGGAGTAACAGGTTGCCTGGGACCAGTTCTGAAAGGGATATGCCATGACACTTTAAGTTGGAGGTGTGGAATTTCTGGAGATAGTCATGTAGGTGATTCAGGACTCTTCTGTCTGGTATTCTGTGTTGGAATTCATTCCGGGTTCTATGCTTGGTGCTTTGCATGTATTACATCCTTTTGTTTTTAACACTCAAACTCATCATGGGTGGTTTTCTAGATGAGGAAATAGTCTCAGAAAAACTCATCAGGATGCCTGGTCACATATGTAGTTATTGGCAGAGCAGGACTCAAATCCAACTTTTTTTCTTGTCTACTATATCATACTGCTTTTAGATATCAATAGGTGTTTCTATGAACATAGTGTAGTATGTGTTAAGAGACATAGTTGCCTTTATGGAGTGACATTGACTACTATTTTTGATACAGCGTCAGTCTACAATAGTTTGAGATTTAGTAGAACACCAGTAGCTAAGGAAGAAATTGACATAGTGCCTTCACTACTGCCACCAATAAAGTTATTTGATTCTTTGTATGGGTCCTGGGGTGGCGCAAATGGTTTGCACTTGACTACTAACCTAAAAGTTGGCGATTCAAACCCACCCACTCTGCTTCTGTAAGATTACAGCCAAGGAAACCCTATGGAGCAGTTATACTTTGTAACACATGGGGTTGCCATGAGTCAGAATCGACTAGACAGCAACAGTTTTTTGGTTTCGTGTATGTGTGTATTTGTGTTCTCCCTACTTCGTTTGAATCTTCAGGCATTAACTCAAATAATGTAAAGCTCAGAAAGTAGCTCCCAAATGCAATCGATTTAGCCCCTTATTTTGAAAATGAAAGTTAGAGCTAGTTCCAGTTAAGTGTCGCAGAAAGGTGAAAGGTGTTGTTAAATTTTTATTTTTGTAGTCCTAATTTAGTTTACAATCTTAACTTTCCTCTAACTTTAGAGCAAGGCCCTCATGGACTTTGCCCCCAGGGGAGACTGCGGGTTTTCCTTACCCAGTTTGTCCCTTTTTTCTCACAACCTCTTTAAGATACTGATACCTTCAACTAATTGTGATACCAAAATTGTGTGTAATTTGTTAGTTCCAGTTATGCTTCTCACCACTATAAAACTTAAGTTACCACGTGAAAAGGAGAACTTACCCAGCCATCTCCTATCCTCACAAAGTTATTCCCTATTGTGTTACGCTTTTTAACTCTTGACTTTCCCCCAGTATTGGCCAGTACCTTCTCTCTCAGCTCTCCACTTTCCCTTTTCTTTGGAATACTCCATTTAAACAGACTCAACTACCTCTTCCACTTTTTTCTTGATGTACCCTCTTTGCTTCCTTATCTTAGCTAACTTGTCTCTTTTCTGAGAATATACTTCCCCTGCAGCCTTCTCTAAAGAAATTATTGATTTTCACACTCCAGGCATGGGATTGGGGGTTGTGGCAAGTAAGTGGAGTGGTCATAAAGGAGAAGGAAAGTGTTGATATTCTCCTGGATCCTTACTGTTGTTTCCAGCCAGTCTTTTTCCTCTAACAAAAAGCTTATCTTCTTTTTTGTTTTTTTGTTTTTGCCATTCAGATCTATTATTTATCAGTTTAGTGACTGTTTTTATTGATAACTTTTACACTTTGCTCTTTTTTATTTGCTTGCTTTATTATTGTATTATGCCTAGCCAGATTTCTTTTTAGTTACAAAAAACTAGTGTTTCAAATTTTGCATTTTTTTTAATTTTTAAAATTATGAAATATTTCATATATGCAAGTTTTCAAGGATAAATCAGATGCTTGTATAATAATAAAACCTACCACCCAGCTTAGAAGTCAACCACTAGCAACACATTTGAAGCCCCCCTATGATCCTTCCTATTGTATCTACCTGCTGTCCCACACTTGTGCTTCAGGTAAACCTCTGTGCTGAATTTCGTGTTTGTAGCCTTTGCTTTTCTTTATGGTTTTAACATATATAGTATCATCACTATATTGTTTAATTTTGCTTGTTTCTAAACTTAATATATAAATGGTATCATACTTAGGTGTATTTTTGTCGTCATTTTGTGATTCATCCTTATTCATTATAGTGCTTTTAGCATGCCGTTATTTGAATATACTGTAGTTTATTCCCTCTTTTGATGGACGTTTGGATAGTTTCCAGTTTAGTGCTGTTATTACGAGCAGTGCTGCCATGGCTGTTCTTGTATGTGTTCCCTGGTACACATTCAGTTGGCATTTTAATGTTTCTGTAAAAGTAATGGCTTTAGGTATTTATTACTCTGGGTTTTCTCATTGAAGACGCAGCACACTTATTGTGCTCATGAGGAACCGGTACATAGGTCAAGAGGCAGTTGTTCCAGCAGAACAAGGGGATACTGAGTGGTTTAAAGTCAGGAAAGGTGTGCGTCGGGGTTGTATCATTTCACCACACTTATTCAGTCTGTATGCTGAGCAAATAATCGAAGAAGCTGGACTACTAGAAGAAGAACGGGGCATCTGGATTGGAGGAATGCTCATTAACAACCTGCATTATGCAGATGACACAATCTTGCTTACTGAAAGCAAAGAGGACTTGAAGCACTTACTGATGAAGATCAAAGACTGCAGCCTTCAGTATGGATTACACCTCAACATAAAGCAAACAAAAATCCTCACAACTGGACCAGTAAGTAACATCATGATAAACAGAGAAAAGATTGAAGTTGTCAAGGATTTCATTTTACTTGGATCCACACAGTCAACACCCATAGAAGCAGCAGTCCAGAAATCAAATGAATCATTGCATTGGGCAGATCCCCTGAAAAAGACCTCTTTAAAGTGTTGAAAAGCAAGGATGTCACCTTGAAGACCGAAGTGCACCTGATCCAAGCCATGGTGTTTTGAATAGCCTCATATGCGTGTGAAAGCTGGGCGGTGAATAAGAAAGACTGAAAAAGAATTGATGTATTTGAATTGTGGTGTTGGCAAAGAATATTGAGTATACCATCGACTGCCAAAAGAACGAACAAATCTGTCTTGGAAGAAGTACAACCAGGATGTTCCTTAGAAGCAAAGATGGCGAGACTACATCTCACATATTTTGGACGTATTTTCAGGAGGGATCAGTCCCTGGAGAAGGACATCATGCTTGGTAAAGTAGAGGGTCAGCAAAAAAGAAGATGCCCTCAATGAGATGGATTGACGTAGTGACTAAAACAGTGGGCTCAAGTATAACGACAACTGTGAGGATGGTGCAGGACCAGGCAGTGTTTCATTCTGTTGTACGTGGGGTCGCTGTGAGTCAGAACTGACACCATGGCACCTAACAACAACAAAGGTATATTTGCATCTCTCTGAAAATAAAGCCATATTTAAAATTGTAATCAAATTGCCTCCTACAGTTTTTTAAATTAAAAAACAAATGTCTAACATACAGTAAAATTCACCCTTCTAGTGTACACGTCTGTGAGTATGAACAAATAATGAACAGATGTGGAATTACCATCACAATCAAGATATAGAATAGTTTCATCACCCTACAAAATTCCCTCATGTTTCTTTATATTTTTGTATCCTACAGTTTTTAAATTAACAGTTACCTTACTACCAGTTAATTCACTGATAGTGGTTAAAGATAGTATGATTTCATAAAGTAGTCAAGTACATTTTGAGGAGGTTGAATTTCATGTCTGGTACAGCCCTTGAGTTCAGGGGTTGTGTGTGTGTTTTTTATCTTAATTACAGCTAAGTGATAACTTTATTTGGTAAATTACCAAATTGATTTGGTTGATTGTAATAAAGATTTATATGCATCAAGAACTATACTTATTTTCTGAAAGAGAAGCCTATTGTTGTAAAAATACCTATTCAGTAAATTTGTGGACTTAATAAAATTCTAGTTAAAATAGCAGAATTTTTTGTTTTTAGAATTTTACAGTTATCCTTACATTCATAGGAAGATTATAAGAAAAAAGAGGGAGAAAATTTTTTTGTTATAAGGGGAGATATTCCATAATAGATACTAAATCATGTTATAAAGAAATGAATCTCTTTGTCAGTGACTTTCATGTTGGTAAATCCAGTGGACATTTTCAGCCCTAATCTTACATGATCACTCAATTGAATTCTTGAAAATCCTTCCATTGGCTTCCACCACATTACACTCCCTGGTTGTCCTCCTTCCACTTCTTTTGCACTATCATAATCAACTACCCTGCATTCCTTAGGGTTCATTATTGGACCTTCTTTTCACTGTATAAACTTTTTGGAGCCATTTTGTCTGTGCATGCAACTTCAGTAACTTACCATCTACGTATATACCTTAAAAAAAAAAAAAAAACACGGCCATTGAGTCAATTCTGACTCATAGTGACCTTGTAGGACAGAGTAGAACTGCCTCATAGGATTTCCAAGGAGCAGCTGGTGAATTCGAACTGCTGACCTTTTGATTGGCAGCCAAGCTCTTAA